AAGGCTTACGTCTGTCTAGGCGCCGACGTTGGCGCGAGCGTGACAGCTATTGCGAATTAATTCCGTTGACAGCTAATCGGAGCCTCTTGGTTTCCGATAACGGATACCTTACGTTGTTTTTTTCAGCGAAGGAAATTAATTTTCGAACTATGCTAAATTAGATTCTGTTTTTCTGTTTACTCGCGTTCACGGCGCGAATTTGCCCATCAAAATCGACGTTGACGTAACAAAAGGAAAGATTCCATGTAATCGCGTACACGCGGGCCAAGTTTGTAACATCGCGTAGCCCATTAAACGTATACGTGGTCTCTCGTTTGCTCAACCGTCGGCGGCGAAGGGTGCGGGGGTCGTAACGAGCAACGGTGTGGGCTCGCGTACACGTTAGCATGTGTGTATGCATTTACGTGCTACGTTGCCAATGATTTATGTATACCACTAATTACCAGCATGCACTGCACTGTTTTATCCGGCGATCATAGTTTTATTAGGCCAACCTGTGCATTGCGGTATTGTCAGCGCCAAAAGCACCGCTCGGTGAACAATCCGTGCCGGCTGCGTGAAATGTGCCACGTTCACGGACTTGTCCCGATCGATTAACGTTTCGCGCAAAGATTCCTGGGTATCGAGATTTAATATTGAGCTCTCTCGACTTTTGCTTTGTTTCTCGTTATTCCGGAAATCGCCGTCGGTTCGACGATAGCGATGTTTTTCTGTGCTTTCCAGTTTGGTTAACAAAAAATTGATTCCTAGTTTTCATTTCCTACAGTCGAATTATACGATACGTGTACAGTGCGCGGCCTCGCGTTCGTTTTTTCCTCCGTATCGCGGGATCATCGTAACGTTTCATTTGGTATCTTCGATTTAGCTACGCCCCCTTTACCGAACCTGTTGCCATTCCACCGCAGCGTTCAATTCGTATCGGTTATCGCGTTCCATTAAACTCGGAGAGTTTTTGGTTCGGATTACCATAGTCGTCATGCATGGGTGGCTCGGTGCAGCGACGTTTATTGTAACCCAAAAATACACGTGTAACCGTGAGATAGACGGTATTACGTACGACTCGATAATCTTAATTTCGGTTATCAAACGTCGATGGCATTACACGCGACGTTTTTATTTGAATGTTTGTTAATTGCAAGATCGTTTGCAACGGAATCTATCGGATCGTTCAAGTAATTCTATCCTGCTACGTGTCACAGGTTTCATTTATAATCGCACCGGAACGTCTATTACCGCAAGTCGGTGTGTTACGTGAAGTGGAGCGAAGCGTGCGTGCGCGGTCCCTCGGTCGCGATCGCGATCGCGATCGGTTACGGGAGGGCCCGCTCTCGAAGGGAGTTTCGGCGAAGGGGGACGAAACGAAACGCGGCGACTGAAAGGGGGTGTACGCGGAGGATACGCGGAGGAGGGGGCTTGGAGAGGAACGGGGAGGTCTATCGCTGACGCTACCGGAGCCGGCAATGCGAGTCTAGGTTATCCGGTGACAAAGCTGGTTCGGTTCGTCCAACGAGGCTCCCCGGTACGTCGGATTATCAGCATTGAAAATGGTGCAACTGAAACCCCACTGTTCGGATGCAGCGGCGCTTGAACGCGATACGCGGCAAGCTTTGCATCGAAAACCAGAAGCGAATTCCTTGTTTGTCGCGCGTCTATTGACGATCACAAAACGTCCATCCGGTGTTGTTTTTCTTGGATGTCGAAATTTTGCCAGCGATCGATGTCCTTGGTGTACGGTTACCACTAACCGTCGCGAATCACGGGACTCATCGTCGGCGCCAGAGGGGATTCCTCGCGTGGTTAATCTAAAACCGTTTATCGCCGACGCACGCTTCTACGTTCCTCGGGTGAAACCGACGCGAGACATATTCCTCGTCACCCATCGAGTAGGTTTTCGGCACGCGCGATCAACGCGGATAGATAGAAACGACTCGCTGAATTCTTCCAGAGCGCTAAAGTCGGATGCCCGGTGAACGAGGTAAGGCGAACCACCCTCCAGGGGGTTGTAGCTAAATTGGCGGCAGTATATTACCGGTCAGACTCCCGCATTTAATTTGAATATAATCGTGGAAGGAGATCTCAGGAGCTCGGGGGCACTACGCGACGCAGAACTGCGTGACGGTGACCGGAAGTGCTCCCGGGACACCGGAAACAAAATGGCCGCTCCCTTCTACGCGGCTCGCCTCGTTCCACCCTTCACGACCTTCCTACCTACCTGCACCTCTCTTCGCTACCCTCCCGAAGAGCGTGAATTCGTAACGCCAAGTTCACTTTGCATTGTGCGACTTCGAGGTGGCCTCGTTCGAACATCGAAACGCTCGCACGTCGACGTCGTCTCGTTCAAGGGGGTCTTCTACTTTAGAACGTCGAGGAGAGGCGTCCCTTTGTTATTTTATTTCGCGAACACCGTTCACGAGGGCTTCTTAGGATCACATTTGATTGTAGAGATTTCAAAGAGGTGTGTACTTTTATCGCGAGGCGGTATTCATTTACAGAAGAAAAAAACGTCTCGAGATAGGAATATTATTCCACGTTAATTTCACCTTCTGACGCATCGCGAAAGAAAGGTCGAATGCTTATACGAAAACGTTTCTGATAATGTCTGCGTCGTTACTTACATACACGCGTTCCGTACGCGGCTGAGGGAGTTTAATGATTTTCGAGTAATTACGAGGCCAGGCGATGACTCGCGTGGGAATGCAGCAGGGCAGCGTGTTCGATAAGCGCCGCGGAACAGTAACAATTAAACCGGCCCAACTCGTAATGCCTAAATACAATATAAGCACGAACAATGAACTATACTCCTGCGAGGGTGGAGCTATAACGCCGGCTTCAACAATGCCGCTGTGCTTTCGTAGACAAAAGAGGGGTTTCAAGTTACCGTCGGTCTGAGTCGTAAGTTGAAAAAGCTTTGGCGTCTAACGCCTCTTCGGAGTTCCTTGAGACGTTCGTAATTGCTACTCGTCCATCTATCGTCGAATCTTCTTAATTTCTAATTGTAACTCCCAAGTACCATACTTCGTCGACTGCAACTCGTCGGAGGCGAGGACCAGAATCCTTTCGTAAAGAACGCACAGTTTCTTCGAATTCTATCGATGACATTTATGGACACCGTAAATTCGACGGACGTATCTGTTAATGGATAAACGGAGTTCTTTTATCGTCGCGTACATCTCGGTAGGAGGAACCGCATGCGAGAAAGAGGGCTATCGAGAGAAAACGAGAGAGAAGGAGGCTTGCCCTTACGAGTTTACGATGTACGACTCGGCTTAGGAGCGTATGATTAAACAACTCAGGTGTTTTATGCTTGGCTCGTGGAGATCGCGTGACCCAACGGCCACATCCGTTTCCGTTTTACCTACGGTCAACCGCTTCGACCCCTAACCGATGGTTCGCCTTAAGGGTTGCACGTTACCTTCGACCACGAAAGAAAGTATACTTTCGACGTATCTTTAAGCAGTAATCGGTTTCGCTCGATAGTCACGTGCGCTGGCTAGGAGCACGCCGGGCTGTTAACCTTTATTCGCGGTTCCATGCTTGCCTTCTTCCTTATTTTTTTTTTTTTCAACTTGCACTTTATTCTCCGTCTTGCCGCGAAGCTCTTGCCTCGAAGAGAGGCTCGCGCGGTAAAAATTTTACTTTTGACAGAGTACTCGTGTACGCGAGGGCCTCGTTGTCTTCGATATCGGTAGACTGTAGGCCTGTTAATCCGAAACGAAAGCAGTTGAAGCACGAAAGGTCAGAGAAATGCCGCAATCTGACATTCTGTACACGAAATGTCGCGACGACCCTTCCGCGAACCGGGCTCGACCGGGCAAGAACGAGCTCCGTTAGTTTTTAAACCACTGTCCGATCGATGTGCGTCCGTTAATTTTGACATAGCGCACGCAGCAACATCCTGGAATAATTTCGACCGGGGACATTAATTAATTTGCTAATTTCGGATTATTGGGGCTCGGTTACGCACAAACGTCTCTCATGGCGGGCATTTGGTCCCCCCGCCCCCAATCCCCCATCTCCCCCCTCCGAGATTCGTTAGTTTTCCGGGAAATTAGCTGGCATGATTTGCATCTGACGTACACCTCCAGGCACCTACACGTCGCTCGCATAGTTCGCAACTCTGACTTTCCACTCGGATCTCCTCTCGCGTTGGATGTCTCAACGCCCCTCCGCAGCGCTCTCGCGTCAATTACGCCCGTCACGGCAGAAGGTTTCCGAGAGCTTTCTCGTTACCGCTATAATGAAACCATTTTTTTAGGAATTCTAGTTTCGCGCGAAGCGCACCGACGCGCCAATTGCCGTGAAAATCGGAGATAAAAGTTAAACAGTGATCGGTACGTCGCGCGAGCCAATCCCTTCTCTCCCGTATGACGTTTGACAGGTTTAACGACTTGGGGAGATTCGGCCAGAACGAGTATTAAATTCGTAGTAAGTTCGGAAGACTAGATAGAGTTTGTTTTCTATTCAGATCGACGGCAGACGGTGTCAGGTAGGATGAGACGAGAGTAACAATGAAACCGATTCCTTTATATTAGCCCGACTGGCGAAGACACGACGCCTACTCTCGGCTTCTTGATTCTTCCGCCGATTATCCTCCATCCAGCAGATTCAGCGAGGTGTTCAGACTTAAACATAGACTCGAACGAGTTTCAGCTTAACTTGGTTGTTGTGAATAAGTAAGAGAAGTGTTGCAGAAGTTTAGCCGAGCCCCCCCAGGCTCACGGCCGGGGTGGCTCGAATTAAATTGTTATACGGATGAGCTGCCACGACGAATACTTCGCAGAAACCAGCGACTTTCCCACCACCCTCGGTTGTGAATGTTTAATCACCGCCTCTCGTTAGATTTAATAAAATAATACCGGTATCGCGTCTGAAGCTGTGCCACTATCGCGTCAACGCGATAGCCAAGTTTTATAAGCGATAAATAAATATTCGAAAATCTGGACGATTTCCCAAGGATAGGTATTCAAAAATCTGGATGGAAGAGCCTTTACACGACTTACCTGTGACTGCATTGTTGACAGGCGAAACACTCCAAGTGGTAAACGTTGGTTCTGGCCCTCATCACCAGCTCGAACGCCGGTATGTGCTTGTTGCAAGCCGAGCAGTGACCGGTGCTTCCGTAAAGTCTGCGCAATCGAGAAAGAGGGGCAGTTTTCTAATGATGTTATATAAAAACACGGGGCAATATTTTGCAACGATATTGCTTTTCACCCTGGCAGGAAATTACGTAATTCGGATCGCTCGGACCCGCTGTGTCCCTCGCGTGGATGACATTAGAGAGAAGGACTTTTAGTCCGCGTACAGAGGGAATCAATAAACTTACGGTCGCCACGAATATGCTATCTTCAAATATTGGGCCATTAATAAAGACCACGGAACCTCGATAGCAAGCGCTCTTTGCAGACGCGCCACCTGCGCTCGTTCCCTCGGGACTTTGTGATCTCGAAATGGTTTATTTGCCCTCGTCTGTTTATATGGGACGTGGATGTATTCAATAAAGGAAACTCATCTGTAAAATTCGATTTGTTGCTTCCGTTCTCCTCGCCAGGGTGGATCGTGCGTGCGGTTTTTACCCTCCGTGGTACTCTCCGCCGCTTATTGGTATTACGAGAGCGTAACGAAATGGAACGTCAAGGTAATTCGAGAAGAATGAAATTATCGTTTCGCGATATCCCCGACAAATCGATGTTACAATTTTTATAGTTGTCGCGCTCGTTAGTACGGAGATGGTAGGACGATAAACTCACCTCAGATAATCCCTCTTGCACAGTATAAGGTTGGCCTTCGTGTACAGCGTCGAGCCAACTTCGACGAGTCTGCACGCGCAGCAGCTGCATTTCAAACAGTCTTCGTGCCAGAACATATCCAGTGCCTTCAAAAGATACCTTGAACGAAAAAGATATTCGGTTCGACGTAAAACAAGACAGTGGGAAAATCGATGGGGTCCGATCGAGTAAGTTTACCTTTCCGTAATCGCTTTCCCGCAGCCTGCGCAGTCCTGTTGAACAGCCCCGTTCTTGTTCGGTTCGCTTTTACTCACATCCATCGTCATTTTATTATTCTTTGGATGTTTCCCTCGTTACCTGAAGCATAACAAATTCGCGATTGATTATCGCAACCCGGGGGTAGCAGAATGAAATAATAATGCCGCCAATTAATATGAACACACAATTATTATATCAGTTCGGCCAATTAATTTACGTGCTCGATTAGCTTATACGGTAAATCACCGACCAACGGGATCGAATGAGTAATCGCGTTCGCGTGCTTTTAACAAGTTTCCCCGGCATCTGGCACTAGGATGGCCGGCTCGTCTATGAGCAATTAGAGGTACAGGTTCAGAATTTAACGGCGCGGTTAGTGCCATCTGTGTCCATCCTGTGCGGGGGTGGTTTTTCTCTCCTCCCACACCCCCTCCATCGACCTCGGTCTCTTTCTCGCGATGCGGTCAGAGTTTAGAATCGAATTAGTTTGACCCTCTGCTACGCTTATAGCACGTTTAAGCGCCACCGGTTCTGAAACAACCACCGGCTTGTCGGGTAACGGCTGTGCGAGCTTCCCGATAAACATTAATTGTTTTCTCCCGAAGACGTATGTATGTATAATCCTCCCCTGCGTCCCATTTAAACGGAGTTTCCGAGGGTTTAGCGTTTATTTAATCGCCATCGCGCGCTTCCCGCTCTTTCGTTTCACTTTATTAGGCAATCGTAGTTCATCTTGAAAAATGATATTGTAGCGTTCGAACGCCTCGATAAACAACGAATCAATTCGACTCGACACCAGAGGACATTTTTGCAGTCGAGCTAAATAACGTCTACCGGAGCGTTCGATTTCAGCTACCCGGTATATTTACACGTACCCGTGGAAGCTATGAGCAAAGTTTGTGCGGTTTCAATATGTCCTCTCCCCCTAGCCTGGACACAATATTACAGAGACGTTAATATCTTCTATGCGGTTGGGACTCCGAAGCAAATATTAATACCGAGCCTTTGATACGTTAATTATTAAAGACTAAAATATTGTATCAGAAACTCCCGCATTCGCGAATGGCTGCGTCTAACCGTTTATTACTTACTTTCGGACAAGTACAAACAAGATAATTATATCTCGTGCATTGTGTACGTTCCAGGCTATCGATATATCCAACGCGATATTAATAATAGTATAATTATTATTCGTAACGGTATATCGCTATATTGCAGTGCGCTGATTAATGGAATAACCAACTAGCCGGGTAAATTATGCAAACTATTAAATTCGAATGCGGGTAAAATTTCCCACATAATAATCGTGGGGCAATCGAACGCGTCGGGTTGAAATTTATGTTGGACATAAATATATTTTATTGTTACAACGGGTTGATTAAAGTCACTGTTAATACGTCAATTGGAAAATATTCGAGAGGAATACCGAACGAGATTAATCGGTAAGAACGAACAATTCGTAGGCACGATTTCGATTCCATTCGCGTTTCAAAGTACGGACGAGTCTCGATTCTCGACAGTCGAAAAATTCACCTACGACCGTCGGCAGTGGGAAACGACTCCTTTGAGACGGGAAACGAGCGTACGCGTTTATTCTATAATAACACAAGTATTTTCGAGTTAGGTCTACTGGAATTCGGCCACAGAAATTCCTGCGGAAGCAAACCCGAATACCACCGACGACCTCGAAAACCTTCGCTGACCCTGTGTGGTCAGTCAATTTCCACTTTGTTCCGCAATTTTCGTGGTCGCGTAGCCCTCCGTTCACCTCTCTCTTCCTTTCTCTCTCTCTCTCTCTCTTTCTCTCTCTCCAGTGATCCATCGCTGACTGGGACAGTTGTCCCGTAGCAAACAATAGAAACAAGTTGTCAAACATCGCGATAAAGTATAAACCGTTCGAACGAGCACCGCCCGATTAGGATATTTAAATGTAACCTAATCGCGCGCGGACGCAATCGTGGTGCCACATTAACGTCGGTTATTCGCTAATATCGCGGCTACCTTTTCGTGCTTCGCGTGGCTTTAATTGCTCGGCAGAGAAGTTACTATCGTCCAGAGAGGTCAACGAAGCACAGTGGAAACGGTTCGTTGGAACGTAACCGTGAAGGGTTCATAACAAGAGAGACTTCCCTTCGAAAGCCGCTCGCATCGCTGGCGATCTGTTCATCAGGTACGTGATCAGATCATCCACGGACGCTGCTCCTCAAAGCGACGATAATTCGATTATCTCGTACATGTTCGACAACCGCCGACATGTCCTCCAATTGATAGATCTTCTTGGTTAACCATCTTCATGAATGTAATTAAATTACTTCCACGTACTTTGAGCGTCGTCGTCAAAACATCTTTCGCCGTTAGTTTACCGACTTTCGACGTTGAATTGTTTTATCGCTTTTGTTTGTTATTATTATTAATATTCTTTATCGAACCCACGTATTACTGCTTTCTGTATTTAGTTTTGTAAATGGTTCGAATTCGAAAAAAAAGATTATAACTTCATTCGAAAATGAAATCGATGTTTCATGAACGATATTTTACATTAATCCTGTTCGGTACAAATCGTCTGATCAGTAATTTCCGAACATTCTTTAGAGTACACGACATTCGCGAAAATTTCCTTGAAACGAAATACGGGAGAAGGTGCTTTCTCTATTTATCGACGTAACTGGGCAGTCTCGATGCAGTTCTCAAGGCTCCGCCCTCGCAGAATCCGCGACACTCCCAGAGCACCACCCCTGGAATTTCTTCACCGGAACAACAAAATTCTTCGAGTTTCCTCCTGACGCGAGAATGTTTGCCGGGCGTAACACGTTTCCAGCGGTAGGATTATTCTTAGGATGCCTTTTCGAAGTTTGTGCGAACGTAGGGGGAGACGTTAAAAAAAATATCCTGGTTGGTTAGCGAGCGTGGAGCCTTTGTCTTTAATAATGCTCCCGCGGAAGCGTTATCTTTTACTTTTAGGACGAGAGTACCGGCATCCGGTGAGTCGGTCCATTAATTAGGCGGGCCACATTAAGCCGAGCATTAATATACTCCGCTGGCTGTTTTGTTTTATCCCGCAGGAAGGACGTAACCTTCCCCGGAGGTTGAAGGGGGTGGCCAGGCAAAGGCAAGAGGGGGAGTTATTTCGACGGAGGCAGCCTGCTAATCCGACCTGCCATACTACCGCCTTATCCCCAGAGACTGTTTAAATTCTGTAAATCGTCCCAAATATTCCCCGTACACCCCGCGTTATAAGCAGACACGCGGCACTGTGTACTCGTTTCCGAGAAATTAAAGAAGTCGAGCTGATAAAGACGTACAAGGGTCACTGCACGTTTTATTATAAGTTGGCGCAGTCATCGCGGGCGTCTCCGCGAAATTTTTCATTGGAATAGGAAACGCAAATTCCCGAATGATCTTGAAGTCGATTTGCGCGAGTGTTTGGGTCAGCCAGTGGACGGCGTTAAGGGTGGCGAGGGCAGGGACGTTTCGTAACGATGTAATTTAACGGGCGAAAGGAATATTTCCTACGGAATAAATCTCGCGTAACACCGCCAGTGAAATCCTCGTTTACCCGGTATTCAGCCCTTGCTAATGGAGGTAATTTAAGGGATGTTTTAAGCGGGCAGCCGCCTCCGCTACACGTGAGTCGCACAAAAAGTTCACGTATTACGACCGCGGTCGCACCGTAATCACGCATTAGCATTCCGAACGGTCGGTGTCGACCGAAAGCACACCGCTTAAACTTTCACGCAACGATGAAAAACCGTAGCGGAGCCGAGGAAAAGGTCCAAATTGTCCAGGATTTAATAAAACGAAACAAGGATCCGGTGCGTTCGCGTATCCTCGCGAGAGGCTCCGTCGACTGTTTCTGAAATACGGAGATTAAGCTGTTTTCCGTAGCTGTGAAATTGATATTATTAAGAATAGCAAATGCGGCGAGAATACTTGACAGGGAGACCATCCTTGCGGATAATTTTCATCCGCAGACCCTTAGGGACGACGGAAACGACGGAACGGACTAACGGTCTGTTTAACAAGTTCTTTCGCGCCGATAAACGCGCCACGGTGCCTCCACTCTTTTTCTGTTCATATTTGTCGTCCCCTTTCTGCCAGACCTCGGTTAATGAAATTCTAGTCAGGTCGCGAAATTCTTTCGTCAGGTGGCGATGCCACCTACCCCCGGGTTGCGTTGTCCGCTCTCCCGTTTCTTTGTTTCTCCGTTCGTTTCGTTTCATTCAACTGTCTCTCTCGCTATCTCTCCATCTCACCACCCACTCGTTCTCTGTATCCTCTGCTCTGCCGCGACAGGGTAGCCACAGTCTTCTGGAGTGCAGAGCAGGGGTAACGGGGTTTGCGTACGTCGTGGCGCGGAGGGTCGGTGGCTGAAATGGGGTGGTGTGCAGTCAGATTACGCTAAGCTATGCCCGTACGTGCTCGCATGGAAGTTCCACCCCTCACCGGGTTTGCCACCCCGCCTGGGAAAATGTATTTATTGTTGTTTGTCCAGCGTTCTGTATATGGCCATCGCCAGAGCGAGCGAACCGTGGAGGGGAGAGAGAATCGCCCGAGGTTCAAGTTGAAAAAAAATTGCCCGGGGACGACCATCGCGATGCCGAGCATAAATTTACGCGCCGCTCGCACCTATACGACCACCCCCTCGAGGCTCCCTCGGTACGTTCCTGCTGTTTTTTGGATTTCAATCCCATCGTCCGTTTAAACACGCTCGAAGTTGGACCAAAAACACTCGGATTTCGTACGCGCAGAAGACAACGATCGGGTCAGTTTAGCGGTGCGCTAATCATGAGCGCAGATAGGAACGATCGAAATGGTTCTTATCATTCGGCAATCGGTACGACCACTCGCAATCCGATACATTGCCGGTGCCGACGACAAAGGGGCTGTAACTACTTCGGAAACTTTTATCTCGCAGGATTAATGGATGGATTAAAGTATTTGCGGCGGGATGCGGGCTGATTGGGGTAAATCGTGGTGGGATTAGAACTTGATTGGCTAATTTGTAAGTGTCCCCGGCAGCCCGGCACGAACTTAACGATCGATCGGTGTCCTCTTTCCACATACGTGCCTCTGGTAATTCTCGCTCGAGATGTTGAGAC